GTTTGGTTGAAATTATTATTTTTGGTTGAAAATATTATTTTTTGATTGAATTTATTTTTTGTTTGGTTGAAAAAAATATTTTTGATTTAAATTATTATTTTTTGATTGAATTTATTTTTTGTTTGGTTGAAAAAAATATTTTTGATTGAAATTATTTTTTTTGATTGAAGATGCTTTTTGTTTGATTGAATAATAAAAACACAAATTTACCTCCATAGTATTGCTGCCCTTTGGATTTAGACTCAGATCATCTCATCTATCCAGAGGTACTTGAGTTATGCTAACAAATGGAAACACACAAGAGTTTGTATTCCTATCTTTATTAGGACCGTGTATTGACTTTCATTCATTCTTGTAACCCAACCCTAAACCTCCAAACCCATGTTCCACAAGCACAGCACATGGGGTCTTGCCCAATAATGGTAGGGGAAACACAGCATTATGTATCTTTTACCTTTAAACTTGGTTATCTTGCTTCATGAATCATAAATTTCAAACATAAAATTGATTTAAAATCTATTTTATTTTAAATGAAGTCATAAAAATATATATGTATATAGAACTCAATGGTAGATTGGACAGAAGTCATTGGCCTCCAGTTGAACAAAGCCCTGCCCTAAACCTATCCCCAAACCCAAAAATGGTATTTGAACTTGTGGGCCTGGGCTTTAGGCCCCATAAAGAACAGAGAGTCCTCACATGGCACTAAATTTTGGTATAATGGGCCACATACAAATTAAAAAAATACACACAGCTTTCTGACATTTGCTCTTAATATATGACTAACTCCTGTAAAAGAAAAGTTCCGTTGATTCCTGTTTTAAAATTGACCATTCTGTTCATAATCCACTTTGGGAGAAAGCAGACTGGGATTAAAACAGCCTTTCATTCTCTCTTCTTGCTATAGGAGCAGACAAACAAAGCGTGCAGCCACTTATCAGCTTCGGTGACACAGACCAACGCAGCAAGGCTTAGACGTGATCCTGTCTCTCTGTGTAAACACAGATCTGCATACAGCCTGGGGCCAGCTGTTTTCTATGACAGCACATTTGACACAGATTCCTGAGGACATGTAGAACAGATCAGCCCTTTGAGGTTCGACATCTTTAGCCGACTAAACCTACAACAGATTTAAAATACATGCAGTGAGAATAACATGCATTCAAGTGTCACTGCTTTTTTGCAATCAACGTTTACACCTAAATGAAATTAGGGAAAATATAGTTGAAACTTGTTAATT